CAGGGAACAGAAAACACAACGTAACCTCAAACAATACTGCAGCAATGACAGACAGTGAGAGCATGGTATAAGTAGTGATGAAATGAAGAGTAAATTGCCAACAGGTGATAATGATCAGAACAGAACGACAAAGCAAAGGACTATGGGAAACAGAGTTCAAAACATGTAACACAGAAACAAGAAGAGTGCCCTCAAGTGGCCAGTCCAGGGCACCACAACCAGACACTGTGACATTACCCCCCCTCTACGGAGCGGATACCAGACGCTTCACCAGAACACACAAAAGTTCAGGAGGGAGGTGGAACTGAGGCGGACCAGGGGGAGGGACGGCGGGCCAGGACCATACAATGGAAGGGGCCAGAGGATAGAGATAGACCAGGGCATGAGCACAGAACCGGCAGGGTGAAAGGCCAAGGCAGGGCCGGCAGGATGAACCAGCAAAGCCCCAACCAGACAGGAATCCCAGCAGATAGCCAGGATGGAGCCAGTGAGGCTCCTGCCAAACAGGAACCCAGGCAGGCAAACAGAGCAGAGTCGGAATCCTGCCAGGCAACACTGGTGGGACAGAAAATCCTCTCAGCGACTCAAAGAAAACTGTAAACAAGAGCAGAGAGAGTTTAGTACCAGCCTTGACGGCTGCAACAGGACAGGCCGATTGCTCCGCAACGGTCCCTGTGAGCTCCCGGACTGGAGTTACTTCCTTAATGAGCTCTGAGAGCTCCTGAACTGGAGCAGGCTCTGAATTGGACCTTATGAGCTCCCGAACTGCAGCAGACACAGGAGTGGACACAGAGAGCTCCCGGATTGGAGTGAGTTCCTTAGTGAGCTCTGTGAGCTCCCGGACTGGAGCGGGCTCTGGAGTGGGCTCTGTGAGCACAAACTGCTGGATCTTGTACTGGCTGCAGTATTCTGTCACGGAATGCCAGGAGAAAACAAGGTTAGATTCAAATGCAGTAGTTTATTAAAGTAACAAAATAAACAGAACAGAACAAAAACTAAACAAACGATAACTTCAAACACAGGGAACAGAAAACACAACGTTTTCTAGTCGTGTCCTCTTTTGGAAGACCAAACAAAGTAGTTTCGCTTTCACAATGAAACAGCATCACACACGGCGGCCTAGAGTGTGCGGTGGCGGCCTAGAGTGAGCAGAGGCTGGGGGCTTGAGAACGGCGCAGCCGGCGGATTCGACAAAGGAGTGGCCGGAGGGCTTGTGGCAACCACATGTGACGACCCCGGGCTGGACTCCGCTTCATCCACGGTGAAAGCCGATCCGGCGATCGACAGTGCAAAGTTGATGTATTTCCTCAGCGACCAGCATGGATCAGCTCCAGGCATGACGAAGCAGATATCTATTATATATAAGGCCAAACAATGTAGTTTCGCTTTCACAACAAAACACAGCGTCTGCACGACATGGTGGCTGCGGCGGCAACAACAATACTGCAGCGAGAATAAAAGTTACGCCTT